TGGCTGGTGTAATAACCCTCTGCTCGCGCACACCCCATCGCTCCCGGCCCTCGGCTTTGCCAGCAGATGCTTAAAACCCAGCCCCTGCATCCTCGCTGACCCTGGTGCCAGGGATGCTCGGATGCAGCCAGGATGAGTTCTCGCACCTGCCTTTGTCTCCGTGGCTTTATCCGACGGCTCTTGGACAGAGGGGTAAAAAGCAGCCCGGGGTATTGTTATTAAAAGTGTCCGCGGGACGGAGAGAGGGGTACGGGAAGGCCCGGGGAGGGATGCAGGAACCTCGTGCCCTGCGAGACCCAGGGGGTGCAGCATCCCAGGGCTCCACCCCATCTTCTGCCCGTGCTCTCCTCCAGGCAGGGACGAGCTGACCCACCGGGTCTTTTTTTGGGCTGAGGTCCCTGGAAGATGCTTTCTCCACGGACCTTCCTTGCCACCTCTCCCTGCTACACAGGCCACTCCAGGCAGCAGTGGAGGGGGTCGAAGGTGGTTCAAGCCCTGCTCCGAGCTTCAAGAAGATTTTTCTACAGAAGAAATCAGCCAAGGAGGACAAAGACCGGTATTCTCTTCCCATTCTTTGCCCATCCTCCAGCTGCTGCCACTAAGATGATGAGCAGGGAGGTGGCTATCAGCATCTTTTTTTTTTTTTTTTTTTCCCCATTTTATCTCCATTTCCCTTAGGAAGGCCGCTACCTCGGATCTAGCCTGAAGGGCTGGAGGAGGTTTTTAGGAGGGAGGCTGGGCTGCTGTGGGCCGATGGATGGCATCGCCCAGCCTCTGAGGGCGGCTGAACCACTTTGCACGAGCAGGACCACGGCTTACCGCGCCTCTCAGCCGCTCGCTCAGCCCGTGGCTCCGGCTCTTGATGATAAATGAGAAAGCACGATCCTACTAAATAGGGTCAATAAGATAATGCGCAGCCAGAGGGACTGGCTGTGTGCAGACACAGACGTACAAATTTAAGCATTACAAGGATAAATGCCGGTGCTTGCCACAGCCTTGTTTGAAAAGACAGATGGTTTTCTACCCCAGGCTCACTGAGGAAGAGTCGCAGGAAGAGAGAAAGGGAATACTGATGCCTGAAAGGGCTGGGGGGTTCTTGGGGGCGATGCCAGTGCTGAGAAACTCACAGCTCCGAAGCTCATTTGCAGCGGTGGAGCCACGCAAGGAGCAGTTTGAATGAGGATCAAATGCTTCAGCCTTTTCCTCGCATTAATAAAGATGAAAATATTTTGTCTGAGGTACTCCTGAGGGCTAGAAACAGAGTCTTGGGTATCCCATCTCCATCAGCTAACAAATACTTGTCAGGCAGAACAGTCCTGAGGCCAGTGACAGCCTTTCAAGGGGGATTGAGCTGACAGATGAGCAGAGTTCAAGCAGCAAAAGCATTCAAAGAACAGGACTGGGCTGGATTTCTGTCCCTCCTTGGGCTGCCTGACCAGACTTTTCACTGCTCTCGCCCTCACCTGCGGATTAAACGCGCCGGTTGCACTCAGCAGGGTCCGCAAAGCAAACGTGCAGCCGGAGGGATCGGCCATGGGCGGACACAGGCACGCAAATTTAAGCACAAGGATAAATGCTGGTGCTTCCCACAGTCCTGTTTGGAAAGACAGATCATTTCCTTTGGGAAACGGTTCAAAGCTGCATCAAAGGTGCATTTAGACTGGGCATGAGGAAGCATTTCTTTACCGAGAGGGTGGTCAAACCCTGGAACGGGCTGCCTGGAGAGGTGGGTGATGCCCCAAGCCTGTCAGTGCTTAAGAGGCATTTGGACAATGTGCTCAATAACACGCTTTAACTTTTGGTCAGCCCTGAAGTGGTCAGGCAGCTGAACTAGGTGATCCTTGTAGGCCCCTTCCAACTGAAACAGTCCTATTCTATTCTATTCTATTCTATTCTATTCTATTCTATTCTATTCTATTCTATTCTATTCTATTCTATTCTGTTCTGTTCTATTCTTCTCTTCTCTTCTCTTCTCTTCTCTTCTCTTCTCTTCTCTTCTCTTCTCTTCTCTTCTCTTCTCTTCTCTTCTCTTCTCTTCTCTTCTCTTCTCTTCTCTTCTCTTCTCTTCTCTTCTCTTCTCTTCTATTCCGTTCCATTCTATTCTAATTTGTATTTGTATTTGTATTTGTATTTGTATTTGTATTTGTATTTTTCTATTTCTATTTCTATTTCTATTTCTATTTCTATTTCTATTTCTATTTCTATTTCTATTTCTATTTCTATTTCTATTTCTATTTCTATTTCTATTTCTATTCTTTCTCTTCTGAAAGAGCATCATTCCTTGTGCGGTACAGAAAGCCAAGTGCTTTTCAACGCCAAATTGCCATTATTGGGGCAACGGGATACAGATAACCTGGGTAATGGCAAAACCAAATAATTTAGCGGGGCGAGTGAGGGAGAGTGCAACGCCGAGGAACCCAAGTGCCCCTGAGGGGTCTGGGGGGGGGGGTTTTGGCCCTGAATCAGCCCTGGAGGTTCTCATGGAGATCCAGGCAGGGCCTCCGCATGCTGGGGAGGCTGGCAGGTTCCTCCTTGCCCAAAATATGGCTCTAACCCACCTCCTCCCCAAAAAAGACAAATAAATACAAACCCCCAGCCCTGGAGTCCCCACCCCGGGGGTGAGACCCCCGGGGGGGCGGCACGGGGGGGGGGGGAGCCTCCGTGTCCCCGGGGGGAGCGCTCCCGTGCCGGGGCTGCTTTCAGAGCTGTTTATTCCCAGGCGGGGAGCCTGCCAGCCCAGCCCCGGCCAGGGGCACACACGGCGGCCGCGGGTGTCCCGTTTCGGTGGCCGTGACCCTCGTTGTCCCCCACAGCCGGCGAGACAAGCGGCAGCAACTGGGTAAGCCCCCACGTGCGGGGTCTGACGCACGCTTGGTGAGAGGATAAAAACAAAAGGTTTAGGGCACTCCCCACCACCACCCCCACCGTGCCCCAGCCCTTCTTTTGGGGGGGAGGAAATTTCTCAAGGATTGAGAAAAAAAAAAAAAAAACAGTTTTTTGTAGCCACGTAGCTGCTGGAGGGGTGCAGCATCCCTGTGCTCCCCCCCTGGTTCCTCCTGCTCCCCTGTTTGGTGGTGCAGGCAGGGGTCAGCTCGTCCTGGAGCGGGGTCTGGCCGCTCTCGGCTGGATCAGCACTTTTTGGCTGTTGTGGCCATCCCTGTTGGAAGCCAGAGTGCCCTGCATGGTTGCCCCAGCCCCTCACGGCCACAGTTTCGCCCTCCTGGAGCTGGCAGCATCCCAGCAGCCAGTGTAGCCATCATTTCCCCTCTCTGGCACAGACTAAAGCCTGTTTTTACAGTCCTGACCTGCAGACGAGCCCCGTGTGGGGCAGATTTTTGGAAAGTGAGTCATGGACACAGAGCAGCAGCCAGTCCTGGTTTCCCCCTTTAGTCTTTCTTTAACCAAAGCTCTGGCACCCAAGCGGAGCTAAAACAAGCCTGTGATTCAGGTGCCCGGCCACAGGCTGTGCAAGAGGAGGGGGGGTGGAAAGGGGAGCAGCGTGGAAGGGGTTCTCTAATCAATCCCCGGGTGAGGACCCACTCTGCTCTCAACACACATTACTGCAAAAACGCTGGAGGGAAACCTGAAAGGCTGCAGGGGAAACCCAGCTGGCCTGAAAGCCCCTGAGGTCACACCCAGTAGATAAATCCAGCTGAACCAGGCCTGGATTAGGGGCTAAAAAAAACCCCTTGGGAGAAGGGCAGTTAGGCAGCTCATTAGGATTGGGCTGGGGGCCTGCAGCACGGGGTGGGCTATGGGGTTCAGCCACCAGTGGGGCAGGATGGGGGGCTGCCCCCTCCCCACATCTCCCCCTCCTTCGGCTGAGGATTCAGATCCCCCAGCCCCGCTCCATCCGCCACCAAACTGCGCCGGAATTGCGCGTGGCTCTGAAATTTGGGCTGTACCTCCCCCGCCACGGGCTGTACCCCCGTCTGAGCCCGGTCCCTGTCGCTGCTGGGGGAAACCTCCCTCTCTCAGCCCCAGCCCCTGCTCCCTCTCTCTGCCTGCGCAGGGACGTGACAGGGCTGCGGCTTTCGTCCTTGGCCAACCCCCGACCCGCTCCCAGCGCGGACACAGAGGAGGAAGAGGAGGGTGCGAGGGCAGCAGGATGAAGCCCGGAGCTGCCCGTGCCGCAAGCGCAATCCCTGCGTGGTCCTCACCCGGGTGAGTCACCCCCCCATCACCGAGGGCTGGCAGCCAGCAGGCAGGCTGCCCGCCAGCTCTTACGTGCCGTCTCCGGTGAGGATGGGAGACAGCAGCGTCCTGTTTTCCTCCCGGAGCAGGTGCCATCCCCGGCGGCGCCCGTCCCCAGCCCCTTTGTTGCCCTTTCTCACCCGCCCCTGCCCCTCGGCAAGAGCATCCTTTCTGCAACCAGCCCCCGGCTGCGAAGGGGAAGGAGAACCGGAGCGATGATCTCGGTAGAGACGAGGAGGGCTGTGGCACTGTCCCTGCCTGCTCCCGCTCGGCTCCGCCGTGCTGCCGGAGGTCACACCGGGACGCTCTGGCAGCCCCTCCGAACCCACCCTGCCTTGCGAGGGGAGGGAGGGGGGGGGGGGGGGGCATCACCTCCTCCCCAGCTGAGCCTCCAACACCATCCCCGGGTCCCCGCCGAGGGGACGGGGACTCGGCCGTGGGTGGAGTGGAGCGGTTCGGCCGAGGATACCTTGGCTGGTCCACCACAGTCCCTGGAGGGCTGCGTCCCCCGTGCCACCAGCTCTGCCTCCCTCCCGGCCCCCCTTAAAGCTCCCGTCCATCGCCATCCCAACCCCGCCAGCTTTTCGTATTTAAAGCCCAAATCTCCCTCTCTTTTCCGTGCCAGGAATCCTAATCTTCAGGACGGAGAGGCTGGGCGTGCTGTGATGCAGCACCAGAGGCACCAGGTACATCGTGCTCCCAGCCCTGGCAGATGCCGGGGCCAGAAATGTTATTTGGCCTCTGTGCCGCAGCGGGACTGTTAAATACCTACCACGCCATGAGCTCTGGATGCCGCATTCGGCAGCTTTGCCCAATGAATTATTTATTCCCTGCCCAGCGTTTTTAGTCCCCAATCCAAACCCCCCCGTGGGAGTGGGGTTTGGGAAGAATGGATGCTGGCAGATGGCAAGCGTAAAAGACCCAAAACAAAACAAACCAAAGCAAAACAAACCAAAAAGCATTGCATGACGGGATTTTAAATAGAAGTCACAAGTGGGTGTTGCTGGTGACTTTCTCGCAGTGCTGGAAACCAGAGGAAAAGGCCAAACCTCTCCAAGATGTGGGTGATGCAGCCTTGTAACTGCTGCTGCCTCTTGGATTCCCTTCCTTGGGCGTCCTTGCAGGAGTCGGAGCCTCTGGTCCCGTGTCCCCAGTGTCCCCAGGACTTAGCTGGCCCCGATCCCAGCGTGATGCTCCTTTGGTCATGGGGCAAAAAGCCGTCCTTTGCCTTCAACAGGGAGCCACCCTTGGTGGGCCCGGAGGGGGCAAGACGTGGGCTGTGCCTGCTCAGGCGTCGGCCGCGAACGCTGCTGCTCCCCGGGTGAGCTGGGGTTCCTGCAGGCAGAAACGGTCCTCGGTCGTGTCATTAAGGATTGAGTCATCAGGCGTGCGGACAAGGGGGTCCAAACTCGTTGTCTGGGCAACCGGGATTCTGGCGTTTCCTCCATTTCAGATGCTTTTCCATCTTTTTTTTTTTTTTTTTTTTTTTTTTTTGCATCACCGATGATTTCTGAATGGAGCCACTTGGGATTGCACGGGCTGGGGATGACAGCATCGCCTCCCACACGGCAAAGCCCTCTGACAAATGTCTGCGGGTCTGGGGATCTTCCAGTCTCCCCACTCCTCGCAGGGGAAGCCAGTTATTCAAACGGGGTAAGTCCAGGTCGAATTTACCATTTCTGTAAGTGAGGCTGAGCTGGGCTCTCCCAGCTCGAGGGGAGCAGCAGGAGTTAAACCACGACACTCAGCGTGTCATCCCCTCGGACTTTTGGGATCGGGGAGGGGGGTTCAAGCAGAGAAGGACGCGCGGCTCAAGGCTCCTTCATATCCCTGTGCTCCCCTTGGTGATGGTGCCTCCCCCAAAACACAGGACCCCGAAAGCTGCCACAGAGGATGAGCCACCTCGGATGGCGGGATCTGCCCGTGCTCCACATGTGGGGACATCCTGGCCTGTCCCCAATCTGCAGGGGGGGCTGGGGAAAGGTTAGGGGTGCCGAGGGGTGCGGGGCTCCAACCCCAAGGGACCTGTCAGGGGTAGGTGTCCCAAAGAGGTCAGGGTTTCAGCTGCAAATGCTCCCGATGTCCCAGTGCTGGCAGCGCTGGATGGGGAGGACCGGCCAGGCAGGAACTTGAGCCACCAGCTCACACTGGTTTCTGACCCCAGGACTGGGCTTTCGGCACCCTCACGTGCAAAGCTCGGCTCACGCTGCTGCAAAATTCCGGGTTAAGTTGCTGTCGGCTACAAGAGGCCAAATCTCAGGCTCTGGGTGCTGCTCCCCAACCAGCTGTGCACACACAGGGGTGTAGGGAACCTCTTCTCCCTTCCAAAACCAAACTGGTGTCCCCTGAGGACATCTGGCTCTAAGGCAGCTCCTGCCCAGGCTCTGGCTTGCCACCTCCCTGTCACCTCCTTCCCATCCCGTGGCCCCTCCAAGCTTCTCTGGGTGGCTTGTGGTGGGGTTGTGTCGGATGGTTGGATGTCGGCTCCTATCCCGGAGGAGAGGCCACGTCACGCAGGCTTCTCGCCTGCTCTCGATGGGGAAAGTCACCCTGAAAGTCAACCACCTCCACGATGCCGCAGGGATCAGTGCGGCCACAATGCCCCGGGGAGCCAACGCTGCAGCTGGAGATGCTGTAAATCAGGGGGAGGAGGCTTTAGCTGTCACCGCTCCGAGGCGTGGAGGGTATTTTTAGCAGCTTTGCTCTGCAGGCTTGCGGTGGTGTTGCCCAGGGTGCTCGTGCCACGCTCGTCCCTCCCGGGGACGGAGGGGCGGGGGGGTGGGAGCTGTGGGCTGGGTGCACCCTGTGTGCCACGGGGCCAGCTGGGACACTGGGGACTGTGTTGGTGGTGGGTGGTGGCAGGGGACACTGGAAAATGTTCAGGAGAGGACCGTGCTCCAGGAGGACTTTCTGGTGTCCTTCGTTCACGGTGTAGCCCCAGCCAAGGGCGCTGGGCTTGTAGGCACCAAGCCCAGGGACCCTCAAGCAGAATCCTGAGAGCTCCTTGGGACTGAGAGCCGATGCAAGCTTCCACCCTGTGCCCTTCCTGCAGAGACGCTAAAAACAAGGATTTGGGATCCTGTCCTTCACAGCAGCCCTCAGCAGGTGCTTGGAAATGATTAAAAAAATCCAGTGCAAGTGAAAAGAAACCCTGACGCCAGCCAAACCCATTCCGTTCCCCGAAAATGGCCAAGCCCACCCGTGGCCCTCAGCGTGCCGCAGCGATAGCAAAGCCCTCTGCCAGTGCCAAATGTCCCTGGTATTTTGCAGCATCTCCTGCCGAGCCTGTGCTCTTGATGGTGCCGTTCCCCACGTCCTTCAGCCCCGATGGAAAACCGTCCGCAGGGACCTTGTGCTGCCGCGGAAGGGGAGCCGGTCTCGGCAGCTTGGGGCTGCTGGTTGGTTTTGCTTCTCCCCAGGTGCTGGGAAAGCACGATGGCAAGCTGGGACATGCTGAGGAGGGTGCAGAAAATCACTGGTTTCACCAGGCGAAGTGGCAAGAGCAAGGACCGATGTCACCTCCAGCCCGCAGCCGACGGGACGGGGACAAGGGCACCAGGGAGGTTCCCGTTCTTCTTCCCAGCGCCGTCATCGATCGTCGGCACGACTCTGGAGGAGATGGAGAGCATCAGCCTCCCCCTCTGCTGACCGCAGCCCGGCTCCGAGGGCCTCGTAAATGGAAAACATCAATATTTGATGGCTCCCCTCAGCTGTCGTGTTCTCAAGGTGAAGGAGAGCACGCCCCCCCGCGTCTGCGCTGCCTGCGTCTGCGCGGCGCTGGGGCGTCACGGAGGGGCCAGAAGCCGGTCCCCTCCCCACAAAAAAGCACCACCTCAACTCATCCAGAGCTGCCATCCACCCCATCCGTCCAGGTGGAACGCACCAAGGGGGCCGTGACGGGGCGTGGGGCCACCAGCCTGGCCTCAAACCTCCCCTCCCTGCCCCACGGGGACGGGGCACGAGGCAAGAGCCATCGTGTCCTGCGAGGGTGACTATCCAAGGAGATGGGTCTGGGAGAACCCTGTGGTATCTGCCTCTGATGGCAAATATTTTCACCTAAATTGGACATGGGGCTCCGTTTCAGGAGAAGCCAAGCGCGTCGCCGCGTCGCGATGCCATTTTGGCAGAAACGTGGGCTTTTTTGTGCATTAGGTTGTTCCCCTTAAAATAGCTGTTGGGAGTTTATTCTTCAGATCCCTTTTCGTCGAAACAATAAAGAAAGAAAGGGAGGGCAATTAAGTTGGAGTTCGAGTCCGTTGGTGCAACGCCAGCCTGTATCAGAGGAGGGAAGCGGAGGGGCTCGGGGCTTTCATCCGTGTCCGACCGGCAAAATCGACCTTGGGCATCATCCTGGTGGGGATGCTCCTCCTGCCAGCCAAAGCACAGCCTGGTCCTGGGCATCCGAGGCAGCTTCTGTCCTTCAAATGTCTTGCTTGAGCCCCAAAAGTGGTTCTGGAGAAGTCACGGGGAGCAGCTGGAGGATGAGGGGGGGCCGTGTCTGTCTTTTCATCCCTCCTAGCCCTCATCTGCTGGATGCAGAGTGGTGGGGGCTGCCTGCAACGTGACAATCCGCCGGCAGAAGCGGGGCACGGCGAGGGCAGCTCGTGGCACCAGGGGCAGAGCCCCACGGATAACGGAGTGGACGGAGGATGTTGTTGTGGGGAAAAGATGAAGAAACTGCTGTGGCAGCTGCTGGTGCTGGGAGGGGAGAATCACCGAAGCTGGGGAGGGGGTGTCCTGCCCATGGGGGGACCCTGTGGGGTCCAGACCTGCCTTGAGGAGTTGAGGTGAAGGGGACAGAGCGAGGTCAGGAGGGTGGCAAAGTCTCTTGTGGCCTCAGATCCGGGAGGAGATGAGCCAGAATGTGGCTTTTCCACGCTCATTTGCAAGGTTTTCTGTGAAGCAGAAGCCTGCTCTGAAAAAAAAAAAAAAAAAGAAAAAAAAGAAAATAGTTAAGAAGTAAAATCTCTTCAAAGCATCATATGCCTGCAGGACTCCAAAACCAGAGAAAAGGAGCACAAAGCTCTCACAGACGCTGGTGTCACTTGGTCCCTTCCTCGTCTGCAACCCCTCCCAAGACCGCTCTCCCTGCCCAGGACCCAGCGCAGATGCTCACGTGGATCCAGGAGATGCATCGCCTGCACGAACAGGTATTTTGTCTGCAAGGATCAACGGAAAGGGAGACGAAACCTCCAGGCTCTGAGGGGCAAAAGCTTGTTTTCAAGAAAGCTCGTTCCCTGGTCCCCAGACACCAAAACTCTCCTGAGAGAGACAGGCACCTCTCGCAGCGGGAGCCACGCAGGACCGAGGCACTGCCAGCAGCGAGGGAGGAACCCACGGCAGAGGGGTGGGATGCTGGCTACCTGCTGGGAGCCGCCTTTGTGCGGTTATTTGTGTAGAGAGGAAAACACAAAATTACAGCGCGTTGGGGGCGTGCTAGGAAAAGGCAGATTGGCAAAGCCGGCAGTGAAATATTCGGGGAGGGCGGGCAGGAGAACGGTCGGTCCCCCCCCATCTCCCACCCACCGCGTGGGAAGGCGCCGTGCCGCCCGTCGTGCTGGAACCCTGTTAATTCTGGGCTGGGGTCTGGCCACGGCCGTGCGGATCGCCTCCCTGCACCCCCCCTCCCCTCCTGCCCCCCCCCCCCTCCCAGTGCTGTCACAGGGCTGACTGCGGCCCCTCCGAGTCCCTCCGAGATGAGTGATGGGCCCACGGTCCTTCTTCCAGGGGGGGAAGCGCCTTGGTAAGGCAGCTTTATCAAGGGGAAGGAGGGACGGTGAGATGGGTGGGGGGACAGAGCCCAGCATCTGCCTCTTGAGCCTCGCCAGGCTCATCCCCCCAGCAGAGATTCCTCTGTATGTCCATCTGCACAAAGGGGGGGCCCCCAAGGATTGGCTGGAAGGGTCTCAGCCAGGAATCCCCCACACCCCCCCAGCCAAACAGCATCCCTGCAGCCAACACCCTGATTTTGGCTGAGGTGCAAAAGCTGCCCCGGTCCCTGCTGAGATCCTCACCACCCTCCCGAGGCTGGGACGGAGCCTGAGCCCATCAGGGCTCGTTAGCACCGGCGCAGCCCATCCCCGGCCCCTCTGGGCTCCTCTCTGCTGGTCTCAGAGGGGTTTGTAACCACGGGCACCGTGCAGGGCCTCGGGTAACGAGCTGGGCTGGGACCACAGCCCTGGGAAGGGCAGAACGTGCGGCTGTTGGTGCCTGGCAGCCTGGGTTGTGCTCCTTGCCTGGCCCGGGGAAGCAGTGGTTTCAGGAACGCGCTGTTCCCTTCCTCCCCCTCGCTTGTCAGGGTTTATTTTTGCTCACCGGGGGAAATTGGATTTTCTCTGATTTCATTCCTCTGCTGCCGTATCAGGTGCTTGTGGCTCTCATGCCTCTCTCCGGCTCCCCGGTGTTTTTCTGTTCTTGCTTCAAACAACTCTTGGTGCGGCAACCGAGAGCTCGGGCGGCTTCATGGCTTTTCTTCGCCTGCGCTCACTGCCAGGGCCAGGGCAGACGGTCGGAGGTCCCACACCAGTTCACCGCTGCCTTTGCTCCGATCGCTTCCAGCGGTCCAGAAAACATGACCTGCAACAGCAGTCGGGAGGAATGGGACTTGCCAGAGAGTAGAGAAGAGACCAAAAAGACCTGACCCGGGTTTTCAAATGCAAAAAATATGCCTGCAAATAAGAAGGGGCTGTGCTGTCCCCGGTGGCCTGGTGGCCAGCAGAAAAACCCAGGCTTGAAACGCAGCAAGGGAGGTGAAAGTTAACGAAAATCTTTCTAGAAAGAAGAGCAAACTGCTGGTCTGGACCATCCAAGGTCAGTGAAGGGAGGTTTTTAAGAGCAGGTTAACGAGGATACGTCAGGGAGTGCTCAGGACAAGCAGAAGGTTTTACCTGTGGGCAGGAGATCCCAATTTTACATCCTCTCTTACTCCACAGACCACTTACCCCCCTTGGAAGCAGAAGCCCGAGCCCCGTGGGCTGCTGATGAGTTGAGACCCAACAGCAACTCACAAGTCAACAGAAGTTGAGCCGAGCATCGACGGAGCCTTGTCCCTGCCCTCTGCCTGTCCCCTCCTTGCTCAGGGACACGTGGCATTTGCTCTGGGCTTGGGTCCGTGCTTGGGCTACCCCCCACCATCTTACACCAGTGGTGTTACAGCGGGCGACGCAGCCTCTGGGAGACCCAGCCTGGTCTTCTTGGCGTTGCGTGTAGGTCCACGAAACCAGTTACACCAGCACCCAGCTTCCGAGTGACCTTGCAGACGCAGCCCTGGTGCAAGGGACTGTCCTCCCAACCCACCGCTCGCTCCACTCCCCTCTGGGTTGGGTTTGCTTGGAGAAGTCCCACGGGGACGGACCCAGCGCACCCATCCCAGTGCCTGGTGCTCCTCATTAATGTATTTCCCGGGAAAGTCCAGGCTGACAAGCCACGCCTGGAGCTTGGCAACTCCTCAGCGTAGCAGCCTCCACACCCAGCTTCACACAGCTGCACCGAAGCTGCTCACCCTCCCACCCATTGGGAATCCCTGAAGAAAAGCAGGAGTTCCTGGGTGCAACGGGATAAGCTTGCTGTGCTTTGAATGAACCAAGACGAGCTGCATTTTGGAAATGCCTTTTGAGCAGAAGGGGGGGTGTGAACAACCTCTCGCGACGTTACGTACTCAAGTCGGTCACCCAAACGTGGGTGGCCAGATCCACTTGGGGTGCCCGCGGGACCTGGGAGGGTGCCCAAGACATCCCGCTGGGCTGGGTGAGATAGCGAGAGATTCGTGGCAGAGCCGTGGTTTTGTGGGCTAGCAGATGAGACCGGAGGGCATGGCGAAAGACACCTACCTTCGGGCATCTGCATCACAGCCTGCGATCGGCAGATACCTACTTTTGGTCCGAAAATGCTCCCTCGAGTTCTCCAGCTCCCAGCTCCGGTGCAGGCAGGATGTTTTGGGAAACCACGACCACCTTCATCTTCAGCTGCTCAAATCCAGACAGCAGAAAGAGCAAAAAGACTCTTGGAAAAGCAAGTCCCCTCGAGACATTCCCGAGTGGGAGCTGCTGAGCCCGTGCCACCTCCAGGCGACCTTGGCTTTGCTCAGAGCTGCACGGCCCACAGACCTGGAGCGAAGCCACAGAGATGAGCGCATCTCCATCCCATTTTGCCAGGCATCACTGCTTGCATTTTAACTCAGTGCTTTGCTCCTCTGGCCTCCTGGAAAGCAACCTCCAGTCGTACCCTATGATTCACGCTTCATCCTTGAATAATCCCTCTCTTCTTCATTTCCCCCCCTTTTTTTAAAGGAAAAAAAAAAAAAAAAACCATGGTTATGGATCCTCTTGGCAGACTATGACTCCCAGCCTCAGCAGGACAAATCGCTTCTGTATTTCAATTCCATATGTCCCCGGGTGCCTGTAACTCACCTGTGATGCCTCTTGCCCTTTTGCTGCTCAAAATGCAAATGCCGGGAGCGTCCTGGGTACCGCAGGAGCCCGTGCCCAATTTTTGGCTGGAGCGTGACTTTCCCCGGGTGCCTGCAAGAGGCGAGGAGTCCCTCTCTTCCCAGCCCAACAACCGTCCCCTTCTCTCTGCTCTTTCCCAGGCTTTTTAGTGCAATCTTTGGCCGCCTGAGTGAGGATGAACCGCTGCCAACTGCGTGGAGCGATGCCTAGTTTCAGATGGGTTGGAAGAGAGATGAAGTGGGGCTTTGCCCTTCATCCCCGTGCGCAGTTAAATTCCCGGTGTCGGCTGATGCCAGCGCCGGATGGCAGGAGCCACGGTGGCCAGAAGCTGCTGCATTCCCAGCAAGGGCTCTCCCGTAGCCAGAGTGGGAGGAGGGACGTGATCTGGGTCACGGCATCCCGTGGATGAGCCATCTGGATTACTGAGCTGGCCATGGGAAGGGGCTGGATCCAGCTCTGCCTGTGGCCGTGGTCCTGGGACACAGCCTCCAAAGCTGGATGCAAGGCAGTGGGTGGTCTGTCTGGTGCAGGCAGAGAGAGCAACGAGGCAGCCCTCGGCTGGGAAGAAGAAAACGGGGATTTTATTAAGCAGCTCCAGCCTTCCAGCCTTCCCAGCAGCTGTGAGGACATGGCGGTCCCAAAGGCCAAACCATGGCCAACGACTGGATGATCCTAGAAGAGATGATGCTTTCTGGCCCCGGACCCGGAGATGCTGGTGCCCAGAGGATATCTCCTGTGACACTGGTTTCTCTCCTCCTTTGCCCCAAGGTCCTGCTCCCAACGGTTGCCCACGCCACGTGCAGCTCCAGAGAGCTAGAGGTCCTGTGTCCTCTGGCAGCCCAGGCACGCTCAGCTCTCGGGAAAGAGAGTCCTTGTAGGAAAACTCAAAAGAGAGCCTGAGCAATGGTCCCAGCTTTGGGGAAGGGCTGATTTCAGCTCAGCCCCTGGGCTGGCTGCTTCCCCAGGGGACTTCCTTGGGCACCTGTGGGGAAGGAGAAGAGGACTTCTGCCCTGTGGAACCACCACCTGAGCTTTCCTCCTTCACGAGGGCTCTCCAGGGCCCGTTGCACTCCCATTCTTCCCGGGATTTCCCTCTTCTCTGAAGAGCATCCAGCGCTCAGACGCTCCCGTGAGCAGAAGGTTTGATCTCTCCATCACCAGGGCCCATCCCATCCCCAGCAGCACCCATCCAACACGCTTTCCTCCAGAAGGTCCCTCATAAAAGTCATCCAGGGCCAGATCCAGACTGCCAGGGCGAGCGTTTGGTTGAGAAAACTCTGGGAAAGGAGCTGAAATCTCAAGTGGTTGTGACAACGAACAAAACGATTTGAGAAATAGGATTAAAATCCTCAGCTCCGCGAGCAGCACGGTGCGTTTCACTGCTGGGTTTTAGGGGAAGAGGCTTCAGTCTCCTCCTCCTCCACACTTCCCCAGTGATGGTGGGTCAGGGTGGGCTTCCCTCTTACAGCTGCTCTCCCCACTATCTCCTGGGAGATCAAAGAGATCCCACTGGTGGGACCTCTGCTTCCCCAGAGGTAACTGGGATGGGCTTGGCTGTAAGGAGCAACCAGTGACATCCCATTTGTATGGCACTGCCCCAAATGCCAACCCTCCTTCATTTCTCTTCAACCCTGTCCCCTCGTTGCTCTCCACCTCATAAGGGAGCAGCACTGTGACCAGGATGATGGTCTCCTGCAGCTAGAGGTGATCTCACTTGTCTCATCAGTGGCAGGAGTTTGTAAGGTCTCAGGAGAGCAAAGGAGGGCTCCTCACACCTTTCCAGCCACCAGTGACCAGCAAATGCCAGTCCGGGATGCAGGAGGGGCCCCACGTGCCTTCGCCGTCCCTCTCTTAGCAAAGCAAAGTCTCCAGCCCACCTGAGCCAGCCTTCCTCTGCACTCTTCCTCGCACTCTCATTATGTTGGCTATCCATCCCCGGGCATCCCGCAGCGGTCCCGCTCTGAGCCGGCACCACGGGCACCGCTGGGGTCTGGCCCGGCGTGACCGTTCCCCGCTTAAAGCCCTTCTCATCTGCAACCCAGGACTCTTCCCAAAGCTCAGAGCTCTTTCCCGAAACGCCGGGTGGGTGCCAGCGGCGACTCCTCTCCTGAGCCGGGTCCCCGCGAGATGCCCGAAGCCCGCGCAGCGTGTAAGGGGACGGGACGTTGGCAGCGGCTCGGCCTCAGCCAGCCAAACAGCCTTGTTGTTATTGCAGCTCGCTGGGCTTTACGTAAGCCTGGCACGGCCCCAGAGAAATCTTCCTGGCGTGGGGAGGCGGAGGGCACCGGGGCAGATCCCCGCGCACCCCCCAAGGTTGCTGCACCTCGCTGGATCCCACCCGATTTGGGTTACCGCTGCTAGGTGCGAGGCCCCGGGGAGGGAGAAGCCGCTGCCCTTGAGTGATGCTGGGAGCACAGGGCTGAGAGATGGAGGGGGGGGGGCTGCCCCCCACCCCGAGCAGGCAGAAGGGATGACAGCCCCTTCCAGAGCCAGGTCGTGGGGGTACACCTCCAGCCACAGCCAAACCTCCCGCTCAGCCACCCCGGGAGGTGCCGGGCTCCATCCCACCCCGGGGCAGGGCCGGGCACCCCCCCGGGGCAGCTTGCAGGGGGGGGGCTGGTTTCAGACGGGCGCTCAGGGCCGGGAGACAGGACACGCCACCACTTGTTTTTGCGAGCAAAAATGATGTTATTCGGGCTAGACTCGCCGTGCGTGATGTCCGGACCCCTCCTGTGTCCTTTTCTGCCTGTGCACGTGGCACGGCGAGATACCGGGCTTGGGTTTTCAGACTGAGGAATCCAGAGAAGGTGTTTTGGTCCTGAAAACTGCGCTGTTTGTTTCGGGCTGGGAAGCCTGCTTCTACGCAGCCTGCGAAAACAAACCACCCCTACGCCGGGGTTATCAACCGCTTGCAAAGCTCTCCCTCGGCGTGTTTCTGAGTGCAGGGTTGTTGCCTTTGTGTGTTGCTTAAAATCAGCACAAATGCTGGGTTTTCATTGTTTTGACTGCATTGCTCTGTATTTACATTGCTTTTAGTTTATTAGCATTCTTGGTTCTGTCTTTCTGTGACAGCAAGAGTATGTACTTCAAATGAATCACAACATGCGTTTGGGAAAGTTTGCTGGTGGCTTCCAGTTTTCTGTCGGTTTGATCTCACGTCTCGGCCCGTCAGAGTGTGTGCTCTTAAAAAAGCACTCGCAAAAGAGAATTCCTCTGCTCGCCGGCCCTGCCAGAGCACGGGACGCGAAAAAGCTTCAGATCAGCTCTGACAAGTCCTCCCTCGCCCCATTTTAAGCTGAATAACTTTGGTTTGCTTGATCTACTTAAATAATGAGCGTCTTGTCGTTTCTGTAGCCAGCTAAACGTTTTACATCTGTTTGAAGTCCAGCAACTTGTCTCCCTCCATCGTCTGGAGCAAGAAATCAGCATCTCAGAGGGTAGTTCATCTCACCCTGGTTTAAACACCAGGCAGAGGATGTGCTGAATCACCGAGCTCCTTCTGAGGGGCGTGGGTTTGGGAGCTCTCCGAGAGGGTAATAACCTCCTGGAGAAGGGAAGATCTAAGTAGGTGTGAGCAGGGTCTGCTCTTCCCAACACCGCTGGATCCAGCAGACGATGTCTGCCCGGAGCCTCCTTGTTCCTGCAGGACCTGGGCTGGGCTGGCCCACGGTGCCCAGAGGACTGGGGTCAGCAAAGCAGCTCCATGATTTATCAGCAAGGCTCATAAATGAATGATGAAACGCGCAAGCTCGTGCCAGGAAAATGTTTTGCCCATCAAACTATTAAAAAAAAAAAAAAAAAAAACAAAACAAACAAAAAAAAAAAGGTTTATTACATCTCTGTACTCCTCACCCGTGTGGTTACCTTAGCCCAGGGTGGGATGGAGCAGCCTCGACAAACCCTGTGGCCATAAAAGCATCTCTGCAGAAGCCAGACCAGCATTGCAGGGGTGGATTTGCTCCATGACACCCTGCAAGCAGAGCTCTGCCTTTCATCCAGGCCAGCCCTCTTCCCTTTTCCTTGGGAAAGAGCTTGGGGAGGGCTCGAAGCCCACATGCTTTGGCACAGGACCTACCCAGGAGCGGGCAGAGATGGGGGCTGGCAGCATCCGGCAAAAGAATTTCCTAGCAGGGACCCAGGGCTCTTTTGGGGGAGATTTGCTGCGGGTGAAAACGGAGGATTTGAGATCCCTTCCGCTAGACCTGCTCCTCGTTCCCGTCCCTCTTCACTCTGAGGTTTCACCCGTGCTAGGGGAGGTCAACGCTTCGATGGTGTCCGGCTTCCCAGCGATCCCAGGGCAGAGGCTGGATGCACAGAAGGGCATCACCTGCATTTCACAGGACTGGGAGCAGGACTGGCCTCCCTGGCTCCCGCTCCTGCCCCGCGACTGGGAACCAGCTAATTCCCAGCCTGAGGCTCTGAGAAAGCCCTAAAAGAAAACCCTGGGTCTGGAGAACATCTGGAATGAAGCCACTTTCCTAAAAATCTCCACCACAATGTGGGTATTTTGGCGTGTTTTTTGGGACATCTGTAAACTCCTGGCGCTGGAAGTGCCCAGACAGGGGTAGGGCTGTTCTGCTCCCGTCCTGCTCTGGGGCCGTCCCGGTTCTCCATGAACAGAAACCAAATCCTGCGCCAGATGAATTTTTGATCTCACCCAGTGCTGCTGCTATCAAGAAGCTTTTCTTTTCCTGTTACTTCTAGATGTCTGTCATTAGGCTTCAGGGTTAACAGGTTCTCTATTAAGCCGAGGCAGCTACAGGCATCACCAGAGCGGGGGAGACCAAGTCTCCTCTCGGCAAATGATGGGGGGCTGATCTGGGGGGAGCAGCACGCCTGGCAAGTTGGGGTCTGTTGCCAAACCTTTGCTGCTTCCCCAAGGTTTGGTCCGCGTGTTATTCCCGGTGTTTGGAAAGAAGAAATCCAGGCCCCAGGTTACCCAGTGATGCTTTCCTCCGCTGGTGCCGAGATCTGCTGGCCACGGCCCAAGGGCTGGCAAGCTCTGCCGGCCTCCAGCCCTCCGAGCAGAGAGCTCTGAGCTCCCCAAAACCGCTGGGCGCTGGGCGCTCGGGTGCTGCTGCTCACCAGGGCTCGGGGAGAAGCCGGGCTGAAGGGGAAAAGCAAGGGGAAAAAAAAAAAAAAAAAAAAAAATATATATATCCCCAGAAATGAACAAACAACCCTGCTCCTCTCGCTGAGCCCGGGATCAGACCTCCGTGTTCCTGATGGGTGAATAACTTACAGAAAGACGATGTATTTATAGCATCTAGCTCATGAGTTTTTAATTAAAATTCCATTTTCTTTTGCTCCAGATGGCACGAACAACCGTTTTGGTGTTTTCATTGGGTTTTTAAGGGATCACATGGCTCTTGCCGAGCTGGGTTTGTTTTGGGGGTGCGGGGAGGGGTTGTGTTGGGGGGAGAGGGGTGTCCTCGTGCCCTGCACAGCACATTGGCTGCCTTTAAGGATTTGCTGGGGCGGAGGAGAAGGTGCCTCACTCCCCCTTCACCTCTGCCGACAAGTGTCAGGTCCTCGGGGACCGCGTCCGTCCAACCACCGCGGCGGGGAGAGCAGCTCGCGGGGCAGGAATGGCTTCACGTCAGAAAAAATCAGATCAGGAAACCAAGCCATTTACCGGAGCTAAATCGAGCTGGCTGGAGAGGCTGATGATGCATTTAAGGGAGCAGCGATGCCAGCGAGGCCGGCATGGGTGCGTGCTGCCGGCGCGTGCCGCCGCCCCCGGGGTGCGGGGCACCCCAGCATCCCCACCACGACACCCAGCTGGGATGCAGGCAGAGACGTGCCCAGTCACCTTCCAGCCTAATGTTGCCCTGGGGAACCCGGGGGACACCCCCCACCTTCACCCACCCCATGATAGCAGGGAGCCTGGAGGGTCTATCAAGCCCCTCTCTGAAATCTGGGGATGATGGGCTGCCCGGGGATTTCCCCTGGGAAACAACCTGTCGGAATAATGAGCCGGTGCAGGAAAAATTCTCACTTCGTGAGGCTGGTGCTGCAGGGCTGGAGGAAGGGCAAAGCCAGGAACGCCCAAATCCAGCAGCACAGGGATGTGGGGAGAGGAGAAGACCAAGAGTCCTTGCTTTGGGTGTCCTCCTTGCAGGAACCCTTCTTGCAGATCTGGGCTGGTTTGGATCGAGAGTGACCAGGGCAGGAGGAAGGGGCTGAGCACGCAGCGGGGCGATGCCCCGGGAGCTGTGAACCTGAGTCAAGCCCAGGCTCTGCTCCTGCTCTCCAAGCCCCTTCCAGATGCACATGGAGAGCTCGGGATCACCGGTATGGGAGAAGCACCAGCCCAAACCAGGTTAAGAAGCACCGGGAGGACTTTACTGCTTGTTTCTGCTGGGCGACTGCTTTCTGCATGAACGAGAGAGATGTCTCGTAGAAACCTTCCGGCTCAGTGGCCCGATAAAGATATCCCAGCCCTGTATTTTGTTAGCAAACACACCCGCTCGTACAATGTGGAGCACGGTGCTGCCACGTCTCCTGGGGCTTCCGTGTGAACCCCAGCAGCAGCAGGAACCGGCAAAAATTCAGCAGAAGTTTTGCAGATGATGGAGTGGGGCTGGGCAGCCTGTACCTGTCTTGGGGAATAAAGCAGCATGCACTGGGTGAGGTGGAGGAGTCCGGATCCGATGGTCCCATCTAGCTTCAGAGCCTAAGGTCATCTGCAGGACGCTCCCAGGTTACGTCAGTGGTCGAAGCACCCAAGAAAGCAAAGGAAAGCCAAGGAAGGCAGACCCAGGGTCAGCGTTAGGCCTGGGTTGTGCAGGAGGGGCAGACCAGGGCAGACCAGTAGAGAACAGGACCAGCCTGGTTCAAGGGCCTGGCTCCACCGCCCCAGTCGCATCGTCGTTTCCTGAGTTCATTTCAGCGCTGCTGGTGGGAGATGTACGAGGGACCATCCCTCTGCCCAGGGGTCTCAGCGGATCCTTGGTTATTGTTCTGCCTGGAAGAACCCTCCCATCCCACCCCAACACATCCCATCCCAGTTGACCCCATCCCACCCCAACACATCCCATCCCAACTGACCCCATCCCACCCCAACACATCCCATCCCAGCTGACCCCATCCCACCCCAACACATCCCATCCCAGCTGACCCCATCCCACCCCAACACATCCCATCCCAACTCATCCCACGCCAACACACCTCGCCCCATCCCACCACATCCCATGTCAACTCATCCCACCCCACCCCAACACGTTGCATGCCAACTCGTGCCATGACAGCACATCCCATCCCACCCCATCCCAACCCATTCCCACCCCAACTCATCCCATCCCACCCCATCCCAAAGGCAGTGGCTTTCCCAGCCCGTCCAGCCTCTGGTTTGCAGAGGGAGGTGGCTCACGGGAAGTTCTCTGGACTCCCAGCCGCGGGCAGGGCGAGGAGGTGGCCCGGCTGCTCAG